CAGCGAGCTAGTTAGTAGCATGGAGCTAAGGGTCCAAATTAAATATAGGAACGTTGCAGATATATAATTTATTTTGCCGATGCCCAGGATGATGCTCGCAACAGGACGCCGACTGCAACTGTTAACTGTGCCGAGGTCCCAAACATCAGTGTATTAAAATAATGATGTGGTGTTTTTCCTCCAGGGTCTCGGATGTTTCGTGGCCTGGAACATCAGGACCGCGCCGGCCGATCATCCCGCCATCAGCAGTAAACACCTGACACTGAGTACGTTCGCTGTGACGGTGTTCAGTGTGGCAGGAGTGTCAGGATCTCTGCTGACGTCCCACAATCCTCCTGTTCAGTTCTGTGTGACCAGTGTCCTCATCCTCTGCTGTAACATCTGCACCCTGAGCTGGTTGTTCGGACCAAAGGTCAGTGCGACGCTACACGAACTCTAAGAAATCTGTAATGGCTGAAAAACATTTAAATTCAGTTTCTGAGAGGCTGATTATGATCTTTTTTAGGGTCTAATCTTAACAGTACTCCTTTTAGAACTACAGACAGAGACTGTACAGAATACATAAGTTAGTATCGTGGATGTAGTTAGCTGATGAAGTAATTTAACAAGCTACCGTTAGCCCCAGGAATCTGGATAAATGAATTAGTAAATTAAGTGTTTCAGTGCCGGATAACGTTAGTGGCTGGATTGATGTAGAGTGGATATTTTAGTTCGCTCACGTTAGCAAATTACCAATTACCAAAATGATGCTACTTCACCAGTTAAAGTGATCCACTAACTTATGTATTGTGACACACAGTGTTGAGTGTGTTCAACAATAAATAATGTATCAATGCTAAGTTAGCTAGCTAGCAATTTGATGGCATTAGCAATCCAGTTAACGCCGATTGTTTGTAGACGTTAGCAAACTCCTTTTTCACCTGTTTTTATTTCTTTTTATGTCTGCAGGTTTTGTTTCTGTGTCTGAACAGCAGCGAGCTGCAGGGTGAAGCTGCAGAGGGCGACGACGGACAAAACAAAGACGAGCAGCTGAGCAGGTTAAACCAGCAGCTGAAGAGTCAAACTGCACAGGTGAGGACATCAGTGAGGAGACTGCTGTGTGTTTGACTTCAGTCTGTCCAACTGATGGTTGAGTGAATTAACACTGCAGCGCTGTTTGTTGTGTTCTTTGCAGCTCGACGTAGAAATAGAAACCATCACCATGCAACTCTCTGAGGAGTCAGCTACTGACCCGAAGCCTCACATGATGACAGAAAAAAACAACGGTACCAAAAACATGAAGTCGTACAGAGATACTGTGAAACTGAAAAGGTTTAAAACTCAACTGAGAGTACTGCAATACATGAAGTCTCCACAAGGGTACAGGAACCCAACAATGAGTTTGTTGCTATGGAAACAAACCACAGAGA